GGACTAATTGGAAGTAGTAGGTCAGTGGGGGCAGGCATCCTAGATCTCTCTCTCCTTCTCTTTCTCCTTCTCCTTCTCCTCCTTCTCCTTTTACTTCTCCCTCTCCCCCCTCCCCTTTCCCCTCCCCTTCCCCTTTTCTGTCCCCTTCTCCTTCTCCTTGTCTTCCTCCCTCCCTCCCAGCTAACATGATATGAGCAGCTTTGCTCCATCACATGCTCCCCACCAGATGTGTGAGGATGTGCTGCCTCAACACAAGCCCCGGCCAACCATGGACTAAAGCCCTCTGAAATGGTGAGCCAAAATAAATCTTTCCTCCTTTTGTTTATCTCAGTTTTTTGGTATTTTTTTAAGACAGGGTCTCACTATGCAGTTCAGGCTGACCTCGAACTCATGGCGATCCTCCTGCCTCAGCCTCCTGAGTGCTGGGATCACAAGCAGGCACCATCACGCCAGGCTTATCTCAGGTATTTTGTCACAGTGACAGAAGGCTAACACAAAAGGAGTGAAAAAATACAGACAGAAAAAGATCAGTGTGATATGTCCTTCAAGAGATCCAATGCAGCTACATTTTAGTAGACATCAGGGCCACAGTGGCAAAAGTGGCAAAATAGAAAGTAAAGCAGGAACTGAAAGCAGAACTGTGTAGGATGCGCATATATCGAAACAGCTTGGTCCACTCATGTGACTGCACCACAGCAACTAAGGAAGGAGCTGTGGGAAGGGCCTGCAACAGTCAGTAGCCATGATTAGTTCAGTGCTGAGTCCAGAAAGACTTTCAGCAGAGACTTTGATTAGCTGTTAAATAGGAATCAGGTACAGGTACAGGTACAGACCGCTAGCTTCCAGAAGAGATGTGAGCATGGCAGTCAGCACTTGGGTTGATCTGAAATGCATAACCACTACGGAGAGTGGTTTTAGGACAGGGTAGGGCAGGAACTTGTGTTTATCCTATTAAGTTCCTTAAATTCCCTCTATGTTCCAGGCACCTTGCATGTGCTTACATGTGCTGCCACATTTAACCCTGACAACATCTTTGGTAGATGTGTTGGTTAATTTTATGTTATTTGTTGGCAATTTTATGTTACCTGGCTAGGCCATGGTGCCCAGATATGTGGTCAAACATAATTCTGGATGTTTTATGAAGGTGTTTTTATGGATAAGATTAACAATTCAACTAGTGAACTCTGTTCCAGTAGGCCTCAATTAATCAGCTTAAGCTTTAACAGAACCAGACAAGACTTCCCTCAGCAAGAAGGAATTCTGCTTCTGCCAGCAGACTGCCTGTGGATTCAAACTACAGCTCTTCCCTGAGTAGGCAACTTGCCTACCCTGCAGCTTTGGATTTACTCCACATCTTGGATTTACTAACCTATCAAGCTCAAAAATCAATCAACTGCTCTCTCTCCTCCCCTCTCCTCCCCTCCCCTCCTCCCTCCTCCCTCCTCCCTCCTCCCTCCTCCCTCTCCCTCTCTCTCTAATACATATTACACTGGGGCGGGCGTTGTTCTGCTTGTTCTTATTGTTGAGTCGGGGTTGAGTCGGGGTCCAGCTATGCTCCCCACACTGGGCTCAAACTTTCCTCAGCCTCCCAAGTTGCTACAATTACAAATGCACAAATCCCTGTGTTTTTCTGTTTGTTTGTTTGTTTTTATCACTCAGGAAATGGCAGCCTGACAAGATCCATTCTTCTTCTCCTCTATATCACCCAATAAAATTACCTCAGGACTCAGTCTAGTCTGAGGAGCTGAGATGGGAGAGGAAGGTTATAAGCAGTGAAAACACTATAATCACAAGCCAGGCATCCCGGAAACCCTTTATTAACACTGGCATCACACATGTACCCACAGCCTTGATGTGCCCAAGTGATGTGGGCACACCCTTCCTCTGATCTCCTCACTTATTTCACGTTAAAACAAACAACCAGATATTCCTATTAAATCAGTATTTGAAGATTTTGAAAAAGAAAGAGGAGAAATAGTTGCTAAAGTATGGAAGAGTAAGAAAAAGAAAAATTAAAAAGGATTTGAGTCACCCAGACCTGCCTGTATGCATGGTGGCTCATGCCTATAATCCCAGTACTCTAGGAGGATGAGGCAGGAGGATAGGAAGTTTGAACTCAGACTGTGCAATTCAGCAACAAGACCCTGACTCAGAATTTTTTTAAAAATTAAAAAGGGAAAAAAAATTAAAAAGGGATGAGGATGTGGCTCAGTGCAAAGGCTCTGGTTAAAATCCCAGTATAAAAAAAAAGTTTGCCTAATCAAATAATAACCTTTGCTTTGTCTGTGATCATTATTATGCTAACAACAACTATTTATTTTATGCCTTATATAGTACTTTCTATTTTTTTTCACAAAGGTTTATTCTTAAATATACAACAAGGCTCTAAGACAACATTCTAGCTAAAGGTACCAAAAGATGTCACAGTGATAAGTCCAGAAGGTTAAATAGGAACGGAACCAAAGGTCACCATGATCTCAGGCACAAGGAAGAGCTTGTTTTTTGTATAAGAATTCTTAATTCTACTGTAGCCAGGAGCCCTTTTCCCAGTCTTTGTCTTTAATGTCAAATTTCTTCATCTCCTCTTTTTACTTCTGCTTGAAAGCCTTACCTCATTCATTCCTCAACCTATTGCTTGAGCTGTGGAAAGGGCTTCCTCTTGTGGAAAGGGCTTCTTCTTTTTAGCTGGACATGGTGCCTGCCACGGCTTCCCCAAATCCTCCTTCTAAATGGAAATGGAAAACTCTTATACTTTCCATAGTCTTGTCTAAGTACCAGAAACTGTCATGCAGCTGAGGGACACATACCAAATAAGTGTGCAGGATTAAAAAAGATCAACTAACTTGCCCTAAAGAAGCAAAGTTTTGCAGAAGACATGCCATTTTATCTGAGACAAAAGGATGAATTTAACTAGTGAAAAAGAGATGGCATTCAGACAGAATTTCTACTTTTTTTTTCTTTTGGTACCGAGGATAGAACTCAGGACCTTGTGCTTCCAAAGCAGGTAGCAACACCACTGAGCTAAATTCCCAGCCCTCAGAATTTCTGAAACAGTGAAATTCACTGGAGTCTCTGCTTTATTTTGCTAAAGAAAAGAGCAAATGTATAGGAGTGGAGATGGGAGGCTGGGGTTATGTGGTAAGGAACAGTGGATTCCATGCCAAGTTGTTTGGTCTTTATCCTGCAAGCAATCAAAGTTATGAAGGATTTCTAAGCAGAAGAGGAATAAATCCATGGGCTAAGCCTTTTTAAGCACAGTATTGCAAAAAAAGTCTTGTCTTTTATGTGCATATAGGACAGTTGGAAGTAGCTTGCTCACCAAAATGTATATAACCACAAATTAAGAAACTTGTGAAGTTTGATAAAAATTAAGCCATGAATTAAAGCTGAACCTTAACTACAAATTTATTATTAAAAGGCATAAAGGCTATACTAAAAAATACTATACTATACTAAAAAATTAAAGTTGAGTTTACATGCAGTCCCAATTAAAAATCTATGGTGCAGAAACTGGCAACTACTATAATCATGCAATAAATACATATGTGAAATTTTTTTCTCAACAAAATAAAGTTCAATTGGAATTGAATCATTATTATGGTATATACATATGTAGAATTTGTGCCCGCAAATATAAACTAAATACAAACCAGTGTGCAAAGGTTGGCTGGGTAAAGTCAAACAGATTTTGCAAATCACCAAAAAATGGAAAAGGAACAAGCCTTAAATTATATTTCTCAAAAGTGTAGTGACCAACAAAGGAAACCACAACAACAACAAAACCCATAAATTAGGAACAGATCATTTGTGCCCTTCTTCTCTTCCATTTCTTTTTCTGGTGGCAGTTATTTTTCAGCATAGCCAAAGAGTATTTAGAAATCTATCCCGATAGTTTCCCCTTTCCCAATTTTACTTTAGTAAAAGGACTTTGCAAATAGTTCTATAGAAAATCCCAGTATATAAAACAGATGAGAGCGGAGAGTTCCAAGTGAAAGAGGTCAGGGGGACAGGGAGTCCTGGAGAATCTAACGTGGCCTCCACTTCAACCTTCCCTCTGGGCTAGCTCCCCAAAGAGCACTTAATTTTCCTCAGTAAAGTATGAAATACCTTGGTCTTGACCAAGCTCTCAATTTAAAACTGGGCCCTACGGAGTTAAAGGAGTTGGCTGAAAAAAAGACCTCTATTTCCTGGTACCTCTGCTAAAATTAAAATACTTTCTCTTCTTAAACCCAAATTCAAATGTTTGGGTTAAAAAATATTTCTTATAAGTTATTCTACAAATCATGCCATGTCTCTAACCCAAATTCCTATTCAAAATTCACAAAGGTCAGTAACCATGCATTTAATAAATGCTTACATCAGGCCAGCTGCCCTGCTAATGGTAAGTCTTCTGCTCCCATTTAGCCATCACCACAACCACCAGGAAATCAAGAAACTAAGCTGTGAGACATACTGGAACCTGTCCAAGACCAGAAAGCTAGGAGGGTGGAGGACTCCTAAAGCCAAGATCAGACCCTTGCACTCTTTCTAACCCCAATGTTTTCTAAATGTTCACCTATCATTACACAGGCTACCAGCAATGTAAAATTGTGAAGGTTCCTTGTCATTTCACACAAAATGTACTCTGGGAGCGGGTGGGGGGTGGAGTGAGGGTGGGGGCTGTTTAAGTGACTGTCATGGCCAAGTAGAGAAGCGCAGAAATCAAAAGTATGGAGCCCTGGCCTCCAGAACTATAAGAGAATAAATTTCTGAGGGGAAGACTATGAATGAGAATGGAGCCAGGACTGCTATTAAATTACTGGTAATGAAAGGAGAAATTTTAAACTTGGGACTGCCCTCTGGAAAGTGTCTGTAGGCATCAGGGAGGACAGGTCCTAGGCATTAGGGAGTCTGAATTTCTAAGTGAGTTCCAGGGCCGGAGCGCTACGGGGTAAGGGTCCTGGCGGTTGAGACCTGGGACCTGGGACCTCGAAGCCCCCACCCACCCACCTACCCCTTACCTTCTGTTGGAAGTAAAGAACTGAGTAGTTGAGGGCTACTGCGGGGCGGGATGTGGGTCTGGTTAAATGTAGGCTGCCCAGGGCTCTTAGTGCCGGCCGGAGGGCTACGGCGATCTCGGGAAGCAGGAGATCCAGGAGCAACAGAAGGAGGGCTGGGCGGCCCATGGCTCCAGCAGGCTGATGCAGGGCCCTGGGAGGGCCGGAGCTACACTGTAGAAGCGCGCAGGCTAAACCAGGCCCAGCCCTCAGCTCCGCCCGCGGCCAACGGGCTCCTCCCCCGGGAAACCCCTGGCCAGCCCGCAACTCAGACTCGCTGCCTGTCCTCCAAGTCGCCCTCGTGCCAGCCCCTCCTTCGGGTCACTTCACTACGGTCACACCGCGAGTCGGCCCCCACCGTGCCAGGGCCTCGCCGCCTGTCCTGTCCTTCCTTACCTCAGCGTCCCCTAGGCCCACCTCTCCTTCAGATCAAGTTGCCTTTATGATCACCGCCAAAACCTGCCCTGGTCACCTCAGTTGCACTGCAACACGCCCTGCCCTCTGCAAATCCCACACAGTAACAGCTACCAGAACAATGTATTGACATGCCAGTATGTACATCGCTAGGCATGATGGCACACACGTCACCTCATCTAACTCAACCTCGACTGCAATCCTGTGCCTCCCGCATGTCTGTCGTTCTCACGAGATGAGGAGGTGGCTCAGAGAGGCAGGGATTTGCATCTTGTCACCCAAGGAGCAGGAAGTGAGCATGGTTTCGCAAACTGCGCTCCTTGCACCTACCTACATTATGCCAGCCTAACCAGCCCTATAGAACTTGGTTTACGTGTCGTCTCAAACCTTTACGGTGCCCGCACAACCCAACCTTCGGGAGGTCGCCTCTCTCCCGGCCCTCCTTGCGGGTTACGCCCCCTTTCTTCTGTAGCGCAGGTAACCCACTGTAGAACCTTCCCCTGCCACCGCCCCTATCCTGCCTCGGCTCTGGGTGGCGCTATTCCCCCTCGAACAGCGCCGGCTCCTGTTTCCCCGGCTGCGCCAACCCCTTCCCCGGCTTCCACTGCGTCCGTCACCCAGCTAGACCCCAGCCCGGGGGCGTTGCTACCCGCTGCCACGCCTTCCCGTCATCTCTAGGTCCAGCAGGCTCAGCTCCGCCCGGAAACCAACTTTACAGACTATGCTATTGCCCCACTAATCGGAGAAGAACATCCCTCAAACTCTTTATCCTCCGCCTCGCACCCAATTTGAAGAAAATGGTCGCTTCCAAACACCGGGGATTCCGTGGCTAATCTCTGCGGCGCCTTTTCTGATTGGCTCTGAGGAACCAAGGTCAGGGCGTCACTTCCGGAGGAAACGGGCGCGGGAGATTCGAATGGAGAGTGTTTGTTGAGCTGCTGCGCCCAGCTGGCCTGAGTCACTTGAGCGTTACCTGAGGAGACCCCTACACCTTTGCCAAAGGTGAGGAGTTGGAGAGAGCTTCTTGGGGAGCGCTAGGATGGAAGACTTATAACGAAGCTGTTAACCATCATTATGAGTTGAACTCAGATTCTAGCACCGTGTGTTTTCAGGATTCTGTGAAGGGCAGCCTTGAGGGCAAAAGAGTAAAAAAGTAAACCCAGTTAGTGCTTTTGCAATCATTCGGCGAACTTTTATTGAACACTTCCTGTGCCATCGCGCCAGATGAGGTGTGAACTGTTACTTATTTAGGGGTTTTGGGTTTTGTTTTGAGACGGGGTCTTGTTGTGTAGTCCAGGCTGGTTTTGATCTCACTGAGATGTTCCTGTCTCAGACTCCCGAGTGCTGGGATTAGAGGCTTGCGCCACGCCAGACAGGGTGAATTCTTGGAACCAGAAATAAACAGGGAAAGGCTCAACTTTGGCTTCAAAACGCTACTATGCAGACCAGGAAGTGCTGTGAAGAATGGTTTTTCCAAACTGATTTAATAGCCCTGAGAGAAAATGCTTAACAGTGATTTCCGAAATCACAGAATCATGAAGGTTTTCTGGATTCCTTTTTCATCCCTCACATCTGTATTTCAAATCCATTTCCTTCTCTCCACTGGTAACTTTAGTTGGACTCTATGACTGTTGCATAGCTGTGACAGTAGCCTCCCACGATTTCTCCCACTTGTAGTCTTGCAACCTTCCAATCTAGTCTCCTCATTGCCAGGTTGATAAAATGCAAATTTGGCCAAGGCACACCCCATTTCAACTCCCGCCTTTCAACCGCTCCTATTTCCCCTCAGGTTTAAGTCCAAACTACTTAACATAGCTTATAGGCCCTTCTCATCTGTCTTTGCCTGCCTCTCCAGCTCCAGTGGTTTTCCACACTCTAGTCCTAGTCTCCAGCCATATAGACTGTCTTCCCCTCTCCCCATTTCATGCTAGGTATGGAAACCAGAACCTCATACATGCTAGACATGGTACCCATCCAACCTCAGAATGTCTTGTGTTCTTCAGATGCACCACCCTCCTCATTCTAACTTCATCCCTAACCTGGCTTGTTCTTACTCATTCCTTATTTCTCAGTTTGCAAAGTCCTTTTTAAAAGCAGACAGCCTTTCCTGATTCTGCAAGACTGGATCATAAAGCATGTAGTAATTTTTTCACTCTGCAGATAGTTCTTAAGTGCCTTTCTTTGTCAAGAAGTCCCAAGTATTGGGTTATAATGGAGAGCAAGATCAATTCCTATCCCAACAGGAAGATACCTTTTATTTTAAGGACTTAAGAAAGACTAACAGGAGAACTGTGGAATTTAGAATGGCCTAGGAAGTCCTCTCTAAGAAGTTGATATTTAATTTTTTTCCCTCCCAATTCTGGGGATTGAACCCAGGGCCTTCACACTGAGCTTATATCTCTAGCCTTTTTTTGTTGTTAAAATAACAAGGTAGAATCTCACTAAATTACCCAGGCTGGGCTCAAATCTTCAACCCTTGTCAGATTCCTAGAGTGCTGGGATTATAGGCATGTGCCACCATGCCTAGTTTTGATATTTAAATTGAGGCCTGAAAGTCCAGACTGATGAAGTCATGAAAGAGAAGAAAAGAAGAACATTCCAAACATAATGAATGGGATTTGTAAAGGCTCTGAGGCAGGAAAGAGCTTGACATACTAAGGTATTCAAAAACCTAAGAAAAGAACAATGTAGCTGGAATATTAGCAGCAAGGACAGGTTTTACGACATGAATCTGGAGGGAAGAGCAGAGACCAAATCATGCAGTTAGAAGGCTAATACAACAGCATAAGCAAGAGATGACAGTAATTTGTACTAAGGTGATGCAGAATATATGGGGACTGAAAGATGGATTCTGATATGCAGTAGACTCAAGGACTTGCTGGTGGGTGTGATGTGGCACGTGACAGTTTTCTGACCTTGGCGCTGAGTAGAAAGTAGTAGTACCACTTACAGAGATGGAGAAAATCTTATGGAAAAAAAGAAGTTTGAGAGAAAACATATAAATTCAGGTTTTATTACTTATTAAACCTTCAGATACCTGTGAGACATCCAAACACAGTTGGCTTTCTTTGCACTGCTCTGTCACCTGTGATGGCTGTATCACCTATAAATGGCCCATCACCCTTCGGTGTAGAAAGGGCCACTACCTTTTATCTATAAATTGAACCTCCTCTTTCCATATATTAACATGTTCCACAGATTTCCACTCCAAGCCCTCATAAATAAGGTGCCTCTCTCCCTTCTGAAGGTTGCACTCTTCTTGGTGTGCACTTTTAAAGTTTTGCCTAATACCTCTGTATGCCTCTTTTTTGTTGTTTTGTTTTTTTCTTTTTGAGACATGGTCTTGCTATGCAGTTCAGGCTGGCCTTGAACTCAGTATGTGGCCCATGCTGGCCTCAAACTCACAGTGATCCTCCAGCATTACCCTCCGGAATGCTGGGGTTACAAATGTGTGCCCACTACACCTGGCTTTCTATTTATGTCTCTTAAAAACAGCAACAAAAAAATACAGTTGGCTCTCAAGTAAGCAGTTGCAATGTGGAAGTCTGGAGGTTGCATATATTGTTTATACCTTTGGGTCACTTCATTGTTAGTTATACATTGTCTGTTAGAGCCAACAGCTTATAAATTCCTTGAAGAGTCTGTTCTTTATATCCCCAACTCTGTCCCTCCCCATCTCTGTCATAAATGCCCCATAAGTGATGGAGTCAATGGACAAATTGTATTGTACTGCCTAATATTTTCCTGGTTAGTGTTTTTAAAGTATTTTACCTATGTTTCACCTTTCACTGGAGGTTTTGTCTCATTGCTTTTTGTGTTAATGTCAGTAAATTATTTCTTAGAGAATTGTGACTGCTCTTAGAAGAGTAAGACAAAGTACATGCCCTTGGAGGAGACTATTAGATAGGATTAACAATTCACGGTAGACACTCTTCCCATAGGAAGGCCTATTAGCCTGTGAAATAGGAGAGAGCAATAAGGTAGCAAAGATTTTCTTGAAAGGCATGAACAGCTTTTGTTTTATTTTGGGGTTTTTTTGTCTTGTTTTGTTTTATGGTGCTAGTGATCAATCCAGGGCCTCATTCATGTTAGCAAGTCCTCTACCACTCGGCCATATCCACAGCTGGCATGAAGAGTTTCAAAAGGAATGAAGAAAGAGTACTCAGTCATACCTTCTTTTCCTATGTCATTAGAACTGAGAACTAGTTTTCTAAAGGGGTAATTTCTTCATTGGGCTAATCTTAAAAACATTGTTTCTTTTTTTAATTTAATTTTATTGGTACATTTTAGGTATACAGTATAATGACATTCATCATTGGAAATTTGCACCTTTACATAATCTCTCTTGGTTCTTATTTTTTCCCCATTCCCCTGCCCTCCCTTCAACCCCTCCATCCCTCCCTATTTACAAAGACTTTGTTTCCAGTTTTTCATTTTCTCATATTAATTCCATTCCCTTCTTAAAACATTGTTTCTTAAGTATGATGCTTGACCGAACAATACAGTGGACTAGAAAGACTGATGACCTAGCTCATAATAAGGCATGAGTTTCAGACTTGATTCTACCTGCATCCTAACCTTTAGTTGGTTATTTAAATTCTGAGTGGATCAGATAGTGAAATAAAAGCACTTTGCACACTGAAACAGTCAAAAGAAATTATGAACCCAGTTGGATTGTAAATTGTAGGATAGTATCCATATCTTACACATGTCTATCTTCTCTTCCCCATCTACCAATTCACACTAAAAACTTTGAATTTTTTCCCCAAGATCTAGCCAAAGGAGAAAAAAAGGAAATGGTTTTTCATAGATAGATATAAATATATATGGATATATCTAGATACAGATATAGATATAGATATTGATATAGATAATAGATTTTTTTTTCCCAGTACTGGGGATTGAACTGAGGACCTTATGCTTGCCAGGCAGGTGCAGTGCCACTGAGGTACATCATAGGCCCCTCTCATACATTTATTTTAAGTTCCTTTTGGGCAAGAGTCACACATACTAGGCAAGTGCTGTACCACTGAGCTTTAACCCTAGCCCCTATTAAGGTGCTTTGTAAGAACTTAGTAATAAGGATTTAAATTGAAAGGTCACCCAATAATGAATTACAAAAAATTGCAAAGTAATCTATAAGGGACTGAAATGAAATCAAGCCTTAAGGTGTAACTATAATCATATTAGGTACAAGTAATTTACACTTGTCAAACATGCAAATTCTTAGACCCAGCAATCTCAGTTTGATCCCACATGATTTTGACCTGTCCTAAATCTGAAAACTACTTGGGATGAAAATGGGATTCTGCTGTTGATAATCATGGAGCTTATATAGCTGATCCCATTGACAAAAAAACCCTAGAGTGAAAAGGATTGTCAGGAATCAACCTAATTCCATTAAATAGTTGATTCACCTAATGGCTCTTCTTTAAGAAACTTTCTGTTTATAACTGGCCTTAACATGTAGTTATACTTCCCCATAGGAGCTTTTAATATGTCTCTTGTGAAAGTAATTTTTCATGGTAAATATAATGAGGCATCTTTGGATGATGGTTTACCTAGACTGGAAAGAAAAAAGGCAAATATTTCAGAGTATCCCTGGTATTAGAAATACACTATAGTGTGTCTACCTCAACCCCACATATTTTAAGAGGCCTATCAGAGCCCTCATTCTTAGACATTAGCCTAGGCAGTCTCTGGAAAACAAAGGCCAACTGAGGCCCTGATTTTCATCAGTCTGCCCTGACACTTATATTCCCCTCTTTTTGGCGCCAACCTTCTTATTTCTACTTTTATGTATGAAAGGTTAAAATATTGTGTAAAGGGCCTTTATACCAACAGAGAAAATACTTTTTCTAAAAACTTTGTATTGTACTAACTATTCTCTTTTTTCTCTCCATTCCCCCATGCAAAAACCCAATTAGTTCCCTTGTTATATTTTCTCATAGTATTATTTATATTTTGTTTATATAATTTACCACAATTACAATTAATTTTTT